AGGGGGTTCTTTAAAGCAGCAGCGCCTCATGGAGCCCAGAGTCTGCTGCTTTGAGACACTGCGTGCAGCCCGGGGGCAGCGTGGGTCTCACCTGCTGACCCTGGGCTCCATGCGACGCAGTTGCTTTGAAACATTGCAGGAGCATGGGGCAAGTGGGGGATTGCTTAAGTACCCTGCTGGCTCCGTGCTCCCCACAGTGCTTTCGCCTTTGAACTGTAGCAACAGCCCTAAGTCTGTTGCTACAATTCAAAGGCAGAGGTGCCCTTATCAAATATTTATCAGTTAGTTGACTAGTCGACTAGTCGCTTCCTCCCCCCTTGTCTCAGAAAGAGGCAGCAAGTAGAGGGCAGCAAATAATCGATGAAAATTGCATTGACTATTCGATTAGCCAGTTAATCAAAATTTTACGTTCCTAGTTTATATACACTGTGCCTCCCCTTGAAAAACTGCAAGGTCAGGGTTAGTTTCTACCAGCTACTTTCTAAACTTGCTTACTCCCAAGGTAATTTTGTCTGTCCACAATCCTTGAGATGTCATTGCAAAGTCGAAGAAACTATTTTTATAGTTTATACTTTACTCACTATGAGGAATTAGCAAGGCAAACAGAGTATCTAGCTTAGGTCTGGGCTCGGGACTGAGCTGGAAGTAGAGGTAATTAGCCCAGACCCTGCGTCAGGGAAGCACAGCAAGAGTCTATTATTCAGACCTGACATGTGGATGAGTAAAAGGGGGTCAGTATCATATCTCTGGCCCACAAATGCATTCTTCTTAGCCCATTGAGAGGGAGATTGTGTTACTTAGAGTGAATAGTTTGTGTGTTGGGAGGCAGGTGGGTTTCAGGCCTGCCCAAAACAGTGTCCTGGCCTTATCAGTAGCAGATAACTCTGCCTCTGGATCCGTGGGGATCCTGACCACATCATGTTGATCTAATCTCTAACAACACTGCAGCAAGACTCCCACTAGGGGTGTCCCTGGGCCTCCAAATCATCAGAGTAGAAGGCCTGTGATAGTACTGACAACTCTTCTTGTGCTTAGAGAGAGAGAGAGCTAGCAGAATCCTGTTAGGGATATAAAGCAATATGCTATGTATATTCTGAATGCAGAATTCATTTACGGTCCCTAGCTACTAAAATTATCCACCACACATACACACACTCATACACATAGTTCTATGGGTGGGACATACTTACCTGCCTCAATTGCTCATGCTAGTCCACTAGCCAGGTGGTCTAAACATGAGAGCTGGGCCATGTCAATGCACACCTATGGTCCTGGAGAATGATCATAGCACTGCAAGAGTCAATCCTGTAGTTTTGCACCTATCTTTTTATATGTTTTAGTTCATAGATCCTGACCTCTCCTACTGTATCAGGGTACTATGTGATCACCATTAATGGCAGATGCAACTTGGATTTTTTTTTCTTGATGGGGTTTTTGTTTCTTTGAGTGGGTTCTTTTATCATGGTCAATGCACTGAGACATAGAAACATAAAGTTCTTTGGAGATTTTTACGATAAATTGGTGTTTTTTTATATTAGCAGAAAAACTTTTCTGCTCTGAGAATGCAAACCATTATATCTGCTAAAACCTGAAGGTAGAATGTATCTAATATTCACTCAAATCCAAAAACTAGAGAGTAACATGGTCAAGAGCAGTCATACTCTGGACTAGAGTTCTCTGCAGGCACCAACTGTACTTCCAAACTTTGGCAGCTGTCATAGCTCCAGTCATTCTTAAGAGCACATTTCCAAAATATTTAGACAGTATGTAATTCACATATCCTGTCTGCCCCTCCTCACCCTACTTTCTAATTCCAGCAGTGCACAAAGAGTCCTAATTGAGCTGTGCTCGATGCAGAGCATGGATTGCTCATTTCATGGAAGACAACCTCCATGTTCTGCCTTCTCTCCACACTGTGTTAAAAATGAATTGTAACAGTTCAGATTAATCCAGAGGTCTCCACACCCATAATGATGAAAGCAAGATTTCTTTTCATATGTTAAACTAGATTTAGCAGAATATTGATTTGTTAAAATATTTGATAGACTCTTGTTTACAGTGCAGATCTATTGAATTGTAAACTAACTATACATATGTATATTTACTTTCATCAGAGCATCATCTCTGTGGAAATTTACTATGCTGTCCCAATGCGTTACCTCATTGAGAATCTCAGTATGGTGGTGGTATTTTATTGTACTGTACTGGCATACTGTGATAATCTGAGTATATTTTGTATTTATGTTATCTTTTCCTTTCAGCAAGAAACAAAGCAAGCACTTCAATGTCACATTTTTATTAGCCCAGTTGTGTTAAAGGAAATATATGCTGGGGAAGATGATATCTCATCATGTTTATATCAAAAGTAGCAGCTTGATCTTTGACAGTAATAGTTGAATTTCTACACTGAGTACAAAGTACCCATTTCAGTGATAAGCATCCATCCAAGGAATTCTGTATTCATTTGACAGCATAGGGATAGGGAAATATTTTAATCCGTTAGAAGCACATTGGGCAATCTCATTAAGTTTAAAATCAGACTCCATAAAGTATCTTTAAGGGACCTTCATAGATAATTTTATATTACAAAAAAGCATGAGGAATTTATCGAAGTCTTATATGAAATATAATGTATTTGAGAAATTGACAATCACTAGTGGTTTGTGATACTTTAGCAAATTATACGTAGTATTAAATTTAAGCAGGAATAGCTGTTTTCAGAAGCCGGTCTAGGCTGGAGCAGCGCCCACCCAATGCAGGCATGGGGCCACTCCTGCCGAGCTGGGACCCCTGCCTACAGGACCCTGACTAAATGTAACATTTAACCAGTTAACTTTTTAAAGGGGATCTTACCTCCCTACTGCCTAGCCTTCAGTGCCATCTATGAAGATGATCTCAGTACCATATTCAGTGTGATCTCTACTACTCACACCTATAAGGCATTCAGTGCTGACTTCAGTGCTAACTTTGGGGTTGACTTGGAGAACAGATATTCCTCCCAACCGTGCCAGAACTATATAACCTGTTATACCACTAGCTAAGGAAACATCTTTTGACGGTCTCTCCGTCAGAGCAGGTGCCGCTACCTATCTCTCTGGCTGAGCCTGCTATTGAATCTGACCCGCTGAAGGATATCCTACAGTGAGAACGTGTGTACTGTATACATTCTCTCAAAGGGCTCTTCTAGACTACATCCCTCTTCCAAAAGAGGGAGTAAATTAGGCAGATCAAAAGTGCAAATGAAGCGTGTATTTAAATATCCCATGCTTCATTTGCATATTCATGTCTGATCGCTGTTTCGAAAAAGGCCATTATAAAAGTGAAACCACCACCTAGATGCGGTTCTTATGTGGAAAAACCCCTTTTTCAAAAGATCCCATACTCCTCATTTTTTCAGGAGTACAGGATCTTTCAAAAAAGGGTTTTTTATCCGAAAGAACTGCGTTTAAACGGCGGTTTCACTTCCAAAATACCCTTTTTCGAAACAGCAATCGCACGCAAATATGCAACTGAAATGCAGGATATTTAAATCCGGGCTTCATTTGCGCTTTCAATCTGCCTAATTTACAACCCTCTTTCGAAAGAGGGATGTAGTCTAGATGTAGTCTAAGATTCAACTTTCAAAGTTGCAAAACTGTTTGTGGAACTAAGCTAGTGTTTTAATTTTGATCTGCACTCACAACTGCATTTCTTTGGAGTGTGTGTATGCAAACATGCATGTTTTCTCTTGGACATATTTTCATGAAAAAATGGTTTTAAAAATATTAAATGATACTTTAAACATATATAGTAATTTTAAAAACTTTTTATTTTTCAACATTTTTCTTCCCTTTGATGTGTGGAAGAACACCACAAATGGTGTTTATTTTAACTTTCTAAAATATATGCTTTAAATATCCCATGTGGTACATGATTCAAAAGTACCCAATGACAGTGAGTCATTTAAACATAAGAATGGCCATTGTGGGTCAGACCAAAGCCCAGTATCCTGTCTTGCAACAGTGGCCAATGCCAGAGGCCCCAGAGGCAGTAATCTAGAACAAGTAATGATGGAGTGATACCTCTCGTGTCATCCATTTCCAGCCTCTGATAAACTGGGGCTAAGGACACCATTCCTACCCATCCTGGCTAATAGCCATTATGGATCTAACCTCCATGAATTTATCTAGTTCTTTTTTAAACCCTGTTAGTTTTGGTCTTCACAACATCCTCTGCCAAGGAATTCCACAGGTTGACACTGTGCTAAGTGAAGAAAAACTTCCTTTTGTTCGTTTTAAACCTGCTACCTATTAATTTCATTTGGTGATCCCTAGTTTTTATATTATGGGAGCACATAAATAATTTTACTTATTCACTTTTTCTACACCAGTCATGGTTTTATAGACCTGTGTCATATGCCCCCTTACTCTCCTCTTTTCTAAGCAGAATAGTCCCAATCTTTTTAATCGTCCTTAGTCTCTTAATATGGAACCTGTTCCAGACCCCTCATAATTTTTGTTGCCCTTTTCTGAATCTTTTCCAGTGCCTATATATCTATTTTGAGATGAGACAACTACATCTGCACACAGTATACAAAATGTGGGCATACCATGGAATAAGATCTTCTTGATCCCGTTTTCAATTATTCCTAACATTGTTTGCTTTTTTGACTGCCGCTGCACACTGAGTGGATGTTTTCAGAGAACTATTCACAATGGCTCCAAGATCTTTCTTGAGTAGTTGTAGCTAAATTAGCCCCCATCATTTTGCATGTATAGTTGCGATTTTTTTCCAATGTGCATTACTTTTCATGTATCAGCATTACATTTCATTTGCCATTTTGTTGCCCAATCACTTAATTTTGTGAGATTTTTGAAGCTCTTCACAATCTATGTTGGTCTTAGCTATCTTGAGCAGTTTAGTTTCATCTGCAGCTTTTGCCACCTCACTGTTTATCCCTTTCTCCAGATCATTGATAAATAGGTTGAATAGGATTTGTCCCAGTCTGGACCCTTGGGAAACACCGCTAATTACATCTTTGCATTCTGAAAACTTACCATTTATGCCTACCCTTTGTTTTCTGTCCTTTAACCAGTTATCAATCCATGGGAGGACCTTCCCTCTTATCCCATGGCAAACTTGATTTGCTTAAGAGCCTTTGGTGAGGGACCTTGTCAGATTTTCTGGAAATCTAAGTACACTATATCGACTGGATCCCCTTGTCCATGTGTTTGTTGACCCCTCCCTTCCACCCCCCATGAAGAACTCTAGATTGGTAAGGCATGATTTCCCTTTATAGAAACCATGCTGACTTTTGCCCAACAAATTATGTCCATCTATGTGTCTGACAATTTTATTCTTTACTATAGTTTCAACTAATTTACCCAGTACTGAGGTTAGACTTACGGGTCTGTAGTTGCCAGGATCACCTCTAGAGACCTTTTTAAATATTGGTCACATTAACTATCTTCGAGTCATTAGATACAGTAGCTGATGTAAAGGATAGATTATAAACCAGTGATAATAGTTGCACTTTAGTTGGATCAGTACATAAATACACGATATCTTTGGGGGGAGAGCAGAAGGGAGTGGAAACTGTCGTAAACTAGGAAAATTTGGATTCATTTGGGAAAGCCTCCTTTGAGTCTTAAGGCAGATCTTATTCCCAAATTAAAATGATACATATGAAGAATCTTATCACCTAGAAGGAGCGGAAAAGAGCTTATCCATGGATTCATGGCTCTAAGTGTTTATATGCTTATGTAAATAATGTCCTACCAATATTTGGAGTGGCATTTTTATATGTAATTGTTCAAGAATGGAAATGAATAAATGTTTGTTATTGGAATCTTTTTCTTTTCATTTAAAAAAAATAAACTTGTACGTAACCACATCATTCATGTGCTTAAATAGATTACAATCCCTTCCATTTCTGAAGACATTTAAATATAACATAATATTTCATAATTTAGCATACGAACAAATATTTGGTAGATAAGCATGAAACAAAACACTTTTTAGAATCTACTTTAAATTTTGAATAAATTAGCAAATACAACAAGCATGTTACAGTTTGCTTACTTAAAGCTGCATCAGTTCAACAGCTTACCTCTGATGTTCATAACATTGTCAGTTGTTTCAGTGGTTGAATGTAACAGTAATTCAAAACATTTTTATTACCAATATATATACATATATGTATGTGTTTTTGTTTTAATTTCTCTAGTTAAAGGACACAAAATCAGCAGATCAGAAAACGACTTTACTCCATTTTCTGGTTGAAATATGTGAAGAGAAATATCCCGATGTCCTCAATTTTGTTGAAGATTTGCAGCATTTAGATAAAGCTAGCAAAGGTTTGTAGTATTAAATGAAAATTTTAATTTTGATGGCACTTCAATGTTTGTCCGTAAGAATGTATATGTATTTTAATTTAATGATGACATTAAATAGCACACTTAATTTGATACACATACTGTGTAGGTCAATTTAGTTGAATTTTCAGACATTTACCTATAGTAATAAAGTAGAAGAGCTCAAAGATAGTCCCCAAAATTGCTTCCAGCATATAGTCTGTATACATTGCACCAAAATAGATTTATATTTTTTATTTTTTATGAATAGACCTCACACTACTTTTGTTTATCATAAGAATCAACTACAATTAAACAGTACTCTTCCCAATTTAACGCAATAGTTCCGAAAGGTTATAATATAATAATTTTCATAAAAACCAAAAAAAAAGTTAATCATAGTAACTTCCTCTTTTCTTTCCTTTCTATAAATTCTTCATGCAGCAGTAGTACTGGAAGCCAGGGAAGATAAATTTCAATTTACCACCTGATCATACAGAATAGCATCTTGTACATCTCATTCTAAGCAGAAGAAAACTTTTGCATATTATCAGTCAACTAAGAGCTCCTTCTATATATAAAGACATAGCATGGCTAATTTTAACTCACTGAACATAGAAACTGATGCCTTCTCATCATTGGTTAATTCATCGTATAGGAAGCAGTATGAGTAAAATGGTGATTGGCTACACACATTGTCATAGTTAATAATTTTACCAGCTTACATAAATTTACTGGGGACTATATTGATTTGCATAGTGATACTGCTCATGCCTCATGCAGCCATTCTTGCCACAATCCCTTGATTCACAATTTTATTTCTGTTGGTGACATAGGAGTCCCTCGCATTCATCCAAACTAGATTCAAATATATAGTTTCTTCCCACTCATATTTAAATTTCCTTCCACCCCCCATGAAGAACTCTAGATTGGTAAGGCATGATTTCCCTTTATAGAAACCATGCTGACTTTTGCCCAACAAATTATGTCCATCTATGTGTCTGACAATTTTATTCTTTACTATAGTTTCAACTAATTTACCCAGTACTGAGGTTAGACTTACGGGTCTGTAGTTGCCAGGATCACCTCTAGAGACCTTTTTAAATATTGGTCACATTAACTATCTTCGAGTCATTAGATACAGTAGCTGATGTAAAGGATAGATTATAAACCAGTGATAATAGTTGCACTTTAGTTGGATCAGTACATAAATACACGATATCTTTGGGGGGAGAGCAGAAGGGAGTGGAAACTGTCGTAAACTAGGAAAATTTGGATTCATTTGGGAAAGCCTCCTTTGAGTCTTAAGGCAGATCTTATTCCCAAATTAAAATGATACATATGAAGAATCTTATCACCTAGAAGGAGCGGAAAAGAGCTTATCCATGGATTCATGGCTCTAAGTGTTTATATGCTTATGTAAATAATGTCCTACCAATATTTGGAGTGGCATTTTTATATGTAATTGTTCAAGAATGGAAATGAATAAATGTTTGTTATTGGAATCTTTTTCTTTTCATTTAAAAAAAATAAACTTGTACGTAACCACATCATTCATGTGCTTAAATAGATTACAATCCCTTCCATTTCTGAAGACATTTAAATATAACATAATATTTCATAATTTAGCATACGAACAAATATTTGGTAGATAAGCATGAAACAAAACACTTTTTAGAATCTACTTTAAATTTTGAATAAATTAGCAAATACAACAAGCATGTTACAGTTTGCTTACTTAAAGCTGCATCAGTTCAACAGCTTACCTCTGATGTTCATAACATTGTCAGTTGTTTCAGTGGTTGAATGTAACAGTAATTCAAAACATTTTTATTACCAATATATATACATATATGTATGTGTTTTTGTTTTAATTTCTCTAGTTAAAGGACACAAAATCAGCAGATCAGAAAACGACTTTACTCCATTTTCTGGTTGAAATATGTGAAGAGAAATATCCCGATGTCCTCAATTTTGTTGAAGATTTGCAGCATTTAGATAAAGCTAGCAAAGGTTTGTAGTATTAAATGAAAATTTTAATTTTGATGGCACTTCAATGTTTGTCCGTAAGAATGTATATGTATTTTAATTTAATGATGACATTAAATAGCACACTTAATTTGATACACATACTGTGTAGGTCAATTTAGTTGAATTTTCAGACATTTACCTATAGTAATAAAGTAGAAGAGCTCAAAGATAGTCCCCAAAATTGCTTCCAGCATATAGTCTGTATACATTGCACCAAAATAGATTTATATTTTTTATTTTTTATGAATAGACCTCACACTACTTTTGTTTATCATAAGAATCAACTACAATTAAACAGTACTCTTCCCAATTTAACGCAATAGTTCCGAAAGGTTATAATATAATAATTTTCATAAAAACCAAAAAAAAAGTTAATCATAGTAACTTCCTCTTTTCTTTCCTTTCTATAAATTCTTCATGCAGCAGTAGTACTGGAAGCCAGGGAAGATAAATTTCAATTTACCACCTGATCATACAGAATAGCATCTTGTACATCTCATTCTAAGCAGAAGAAAACTTTTGCATATTATCAGTCAACTAAGAGCTCCTTCTATATATAAAGACATAGCATGGCTAATTTTAACTCACTGAACATAGAAACTGATGCCTTCTCATCATTGGTTAATTCATCGTATAGGAAGCAGTATGAGTAAAATGGTGATTGGCTACACACATTGTCATAGTTAATAATTTTACCAGCTTACATAAATTTACTGGGGACTATATTGATTTGCATAGTGATACTGCTCATGCCTCATGCAGCCATTCTTGCCACAATCCCTTGATTCACAATTTTATTTCTGTTGGTGACATAGGAGTCCCTCGCATTCATCCAAACTAGATTCAAATATATAGTTTCTTCCCACTCATATTTAAATTTTCAGATACAACTGATATACATGATCAAGTCTTATAAATATTTGTGTATGTTTTGTCTTACAAAAACTTTATACATTTATAAAATGTTGCTACTTTTAGTACTTAGTCCATAGTGACTGGAAGAATTATTAATGTATCCATGTTTTACTTGAGTGCATAAATTATGTTGTTGCATGTTCATAGAACAGCATGTGTGCTTTCGTCATAGAAAAGCAGTGGAGTATATTGTGATGGTCCTTGTGGGTATTGAATCGTGTAATTATTATATTTTATCAAACTACATATATTACCACATCAACACTTAATCTTATAGGATAAAGATGATATTTTTCAAGGTTTATATGCTACTTTTGCCTGTTCATTATGAGAGGAGTTTAATGTATTACGTATTGCCAGGGCTCGCCAGCCGTGCAGTCCGGCGATCTGCGACCCGGAGAAGCTGGGTTACGGCGATCTGCGCATGCGCAGATCGCCGTAACCCAGCTTCTCCGGGTTATAATCTACTCACCACGAGCGAGTAGATGGTATAATTTTTCGAGCCGTGCATAGAAAAGAATAGAAGGATCAGACATAGTATAACAGATTAGTATATGCCTATGTGTATCTGTATCAATATGTAAACTCGATTCTGTTTTGTGAATTACATTTTGGTTGCAGCCTATTGAAAACCCTTCACTTTTGCACTATAGTCTCCATCCTGAGTTGGCACAAGAAATCCTTACACCTAGCAGAAAGTCTAACAATGGGAAAACCATCAAGAGTCCTTAAACCTTGATGGTCTGCCATTCAAATGGGTCCACACTAGAATAGTAGGATGACTGCTGTCCACAGAAACTACTTTTCCCAGTTTGGAATTGAGGCTTACAGGGTGTTCTTGCATTTATTTTATGAAACTAATGGATTTTCCCTGAGAAATTGCTTTCTGTCTCTATAGGACCTCACATGTTAAATTCCAGTGATACTGTTATCTTACTTTTTTTGTGTTCAGATCATATGCCCAGCTTCTGGGAGAGAAAGTTTCTGAATGTCTCAAAATAAGAGTGTCTGTAGTTAAAGTTCTCTAAAATTTTATTTTTTCAGAAGTTCTAAGCATCTGCACATCTTAATGAAGTCAGTGGGGCTCTTGTACTTTTCAAAGGCTCAGGCATCACAGGGAGTGTGGGGCTTCTGCTTTTGAACTGGAGCAAGAGCCTGATAGTGAGTCACCCTTATAGATTAATCAAATAGTTGATAGAAACCCCATTGGCTAGTCAATTAGTTAATTAATGTAAATGTAACATCCCTAATGGGAACTGCAATTGTTTATCATGTTTGAAAATTAGACCATTTTTATTAAGTGCCTAAATATGGTTATAGGAGCCAGTAGGCATAATATTGGAAAGTTTTTGGCAAATGAGTTTGAACTACATTGTCACTAGTTTGCTACTTAGTTCTCTAAATATATGCTTTTAGCAAGTCCAGATGTTGAATTCCAGTTATTCCCTCTGGTGTAGGAATGGATGAGTTAAAATTAATCCACAAAAGAAGGAAGTGATGCTGTAAGTGGATGATAGATGTGTCCTTAGTCCTCATAACTCTTGGGTCTTTGTTACACCTTGGTTATGCTTCCAGAACTCTCCCTCTACTGTGAGAAGGTCCTTAATGAGTCACAGCTGATAACACCCCTCACCCTTGGATAACACTTAATTGTGGAATTCCTCTCTCAACATTCTTTTTGTCACTCTTCTACTTTTATAAGCAGCTAGCTGGCTGATTCATGGCTCCTACTTCCCTGAAAACTAAGTAGAAGTTGGAAATTTTCCATTTGCTTTTTTTCTTAGGATCCCTTTACATTGCTTTCTTATTGAATGATTTATCTGGGAATCAAAGATGCTATGAAACTGGCTTTCTATATTTAACTCCCAATTCCTTTCAGCTGTTAATTCATTTTTTAACTCTAGTTGCTCTCAGACGTCGTCTAGTTACTTTATGTGGTATGTGACTATTTCAGCCAGTCCAGTTCCTTTCTAAGTTTCTTTGCTGCTTCATCAGTGTTATGCTTTTACTGCCCGTCCACAATTTTATCCTGTTCCTTTCTCTTAGAGTAAATTTGT